TCGTGACATCCCACTAAACCACAAAATGTTCTGCCCTACAGACACGGGTGGATTGAATTCATCTCCCCACCATCATGTTTGCTGGTCAGTAACGCCACAATCCCTCCTTTTGTGATGTTAGGCTCTCTTACGTTTGTGGTGAGTATGAATACTGCTTTAATCAAAGCCCATAGTTGGAATACACTGTCTCTACTAGGTCCATGTTACAAACAAATCAGATAGTTGAAAAGTCTTTTTTTGGGGTTAGATGTCCATATAGTATATCACACTGCTATAAAGATAACTAATGGTTTAAAGAAGTAAGGAATCATAGCAAACAAAAAGATATGAGAAGGTATAAAATTGTAGAAAGAAAAAAGAAAAAAGATTTCAGGGTAAGACAAATAAAACATTGAAAAACTCATAAGACTTTGTGGGCAAATTTTGAGCACTGTATGATCGGCCTTAGTAGATCAGCATCCATAAGATTGAGCTATCTGTCTACTTGCAGTAGAAAAAAAGGCATGACTCTTAGGAAGAATAATGTACACTTAACCTGTAGAGAGATTTGGGTTAGGAGCATAAGGCCATGATTAATAAACAATGAATAATAGGGAAGGATAAGCCATATATTCTGTGATTTGGTTATATTCGTATTGGTAACATTCGAATTTGTTATCATCTTGTTCTTTCTAGATACTAGGCGGTCCGTAATAAAGTGCCTCGTCGGTGGGCGGGAGTTCAAGGAAATGTTGAAGCTCTTTCGAGTCTAGAAATAGGGTTATTAGCTTTTTGAATCTGGTAAACGTATCACAGTTACGGATAAGCATTGGCAGCCTGTTCCACAGTAAACTATACCGTACTGTAAAAAACTTACAAAGCATTTGTTTTTGGTGTTTTACGGTAAGTGGTGTATATGCGTTGTTTCTAAGTCTATAGGCTGGGTAGTGGGTCATAGTCGAGCAGGAGGTTAGAGAGGAGAGCCCATATATCGCTTTGTGAAGAAATATTAAATTGTTCTTTAGCCTACGGTGCCATAAAGGTTTTAAAGATAGATGCTTACATCTATCTGTGTAATCGAGATTCCAGTTACATCCTAGTAGTTGACGTGTGAAACGTATTTGAACATCTTCTACTCTTATCTTGTCTGTGATATTCATATTAGAAAAGACAAAAGAGCAGTATTCAAGGGAGGGTCGTACACATATTTTGTAGAGAGTATGTTTACCCTCTGTTGTGAAAAATATTTTTCATTATAAAAACAATTAGCCGTCCAGATTTAGAAATAATAGGGGTGGCATGTTCTTCAAAGTTCAGGCTTCCTGTGTAATTAGTTCCTAAATAGTGTCCTGATTCGAGTGTTTGGACTCTACATTCATTTAAGTGAAGTCGCGGTTTATAGGGATGCTTTCCAAAGTGCATGATCCCGAATTTGTTGAGGTTAAATGGTAATTGCTATTTTTCACTCCATATAGTTAAGTTATTGAGGTCCTTTCGGATCTGGGATACACTTTCGCTTAGTGTCTCAGGCTTATAGCTGTATACTATTTTGAGATCATCAGCATATAAGTATGGTTTCCCAAATTCTATGGTGTTACATATATCGTTTATATACATAAGGAACAAAAGTGGACCTAATACGCTTCCCTGGATGACTCCACTGGTGATTGGTCTAGGGGCCGAGAGGCAGTCATTGTACTTTACCATCTGTTTACGTTCTGTTAAGAACGAAGCAAACCATGAGTACAGTGGGTTGTGTATTCCGAAGGACTTTAGTTTGACGAGTAGCCCTTTGTGTGGGACCTTATCAAAGGCTTTCTTAAAGTCTAGGAATAGGACTGATACAAGGAGTCCGCTGTCTCGTTTCAGAGTTATATCATTCAGGTAGTCTACTAGGCATGTATCGCATGATCTGGACCTAAGAAATCCATGCTGGGAGGTCGACAAGAGATTGTTAGTTAATAGATGTTGGACTACAGCCGCCTTAACTACTTTTTCCATCACTCTGTATACCACTAAAGTTATGTTTATAGGCCGGTAATTTTCAACGTTTGCTTCAGGTCCTGTTTTAATTTTGGGAATGATATGTGTAGTTTTCCAGGCAGTAGGGTAACACGCTGAAGAGAGTGATATCGCGAATAGTTTGAGAAGCAAAACACACATATCATCACCTCCACGTTTTAGCATGCTAGATGGAATGCCATCTGGTCCATCAGTGTAGGGGTGTTTCAATGTACTGATTGCCTAGGAGATATTTTGTACACAAAATTCTACATTAGTAATTTCACAGGGAGTTACTGGGATTGGTTCTGAATCATTAAATGGTTTTTCGTTAGTTAGTGAGAAACAAAAATGTTCACTAAATAATTCTGTGACAAGTTTGGGATCTTCGTATACTTGTTTGCCTTTAGTGAATATACTCCCTCTCGATTTAGAGCGTTTAAGTTTATTTTGGAGTAGTATGGTGAGTGCAGAGGAGTTATTATTAAATTCAACTGCACGTTTTTCCTGTGTGATTGCTTTTTGTTTACTTATTGTCCCTGTTCGGACAAGCATTTCTGTCATCGTTACTAAAGAGGAAAAGTCATTTAAGTTGTGGAATCGAGTCCAATGCCTTTGAAGACGTCTTCTTGTACTGACCGGTATATAGAGATCTTTGGAGAGCGTAGGTTTACAGTATTTTAAAGGTGCGATGTTGTTGATGATACTTTTGATGTTGTGATAAAATATATTGGTTAATGTGTCGGTATTGTTTGAGGTAAAGAAAGTTCCCCAATCAGTGCTTCTTAGGTAATTGTGGAAGTTATTCCAATCAACCTTGCGATAGTTTCTACGAAGTGTTACGGTTTTACTTCTATCGGTTGTGGTCTTTACATTAAGGCTGCATATGACAATATTATGATCACTACCTGGGAACATTTTTCCAATATACAAAGTATTGGGGATGAGGCCACTGGTAAAGACGAAGTCTAAGATGTTTTGATGTCTGGTAGGGCTATCGACATACTGAGTCCATTGTCCAAGATCTAGACATTCAATAAATGATTCATAACGTCTCGGCGCTTTGACTGGCAGCCAAGAAATTTCGGGCATATTGAAGTCACCACAAATAAGCTTGCCTGTGAATGAGAGGGATGATGCTAGTGTGAATACCTCCGATAATACTGCTATTTCATCTATTGATGAGTTAGGTTGACGGTCAATACAGCCAAACAGTAAGGTAACGGAATTCGACGGCTTTAATACAATCCACATCGAACCCTTCAGTTTGTTTAGTTCAGGCATATCACATAGCAGTGAGTTTAGGCTAGAGTGAGCGTAAATAAGACATCCTCCGCCTCGTCCATTCAATCTATCGCTTCTATATAGGAAATAGTTATCAAGAGATATACTTCGGTCGGAAATATTACTGTTAGTCCTTGCTTCAGATATCATAATAAGTGGTGGTTGATATATGGATACAAACAGGGCTAAATCCGTCTTTTTGTTGCAGATCGATCGAGCGTTGATAAGAAATTGTACTACGAATCCTGTGTAGATACTAACCAGCCGAGATCAGACACCTTCCAAAATATCTTAAAGCTTTCAAAAGTATCTTTGAACTCATTCACACTTAACTACTACTTTAATTTACTTGGTATTATTTTACTTGAATCTTTCCATTGACGTTTTTGGGACTGAAATTGATCAGTCTTTTACTGGCATATGTGCATACTGTGCGTGTGCTTCGATACTGCCTTAATTTACAAGCATTATAAGCAAAGATGGATAGTGGCTAGCAGTAAAACAATACCAAGTGAATTAAACTTCACCCCATGGCACAAGCAAGTGGCTGTCAGGACTCAGTAGCTAAGTGGATAACGCGGTGGCGTTTGAAGCGAACGTTACTGAGTTCGAGTCCCAGAGTGAACATCAACTTTGAGATGCAGGTACATCCAGCTGACGAGTCCCAAACAAGACTAAACGCGCGTCCTTGATTCCACTGCCAGCCACTATCCATCTTTGCTTATAACTCATACTCTGATCGGATTAGGGTGTCTTGGTTACAAATGAGATATGGATGGTAACGGTACCAATCCCTGAATATCCATGGCATTCTTCGTCCTGTTAGAAGTGCATATCCGGAACCTAATTATCATCCGGTCCTGACGCATTAGAATAAACCTCACTGGTTTTAGCTCTTGCAATTTTCTGGCTAGTCCTTTATGATCTTTTCTAGGATGATATTAAATATTATTTGAAACCGTGCCTGTTTTTCGGGTTTACAGATTTCCCAAGATTGATATAATATGTGGTAACTGGTAGTTACAAAGTGTTTTTCAGTTGTAATTACCTTTACCTTCACTCACGATGTCGATGTTAGCTAGTGACTTACACAATTACTCTGCGTTCATAGAAAAGATATTGAAGGTTGTAAAATTAATGAGCCTATTTAAGTCCACCAACTCTGAGTATATGCCAAACCTGATGAGAGATTCAAAACTAGTACCCAGTGGTTGGGAACTATCACAGGATTTGCGATATCCAAAATATCAAAACATGAGCGTAACTTATATATTGAGTTTGGGATCTAAGTGGTCATATAACACCTGTAATAAATCTTTTGGTTACTGCTAAAATACTGAGGCCACTCCACTACATCGGTAACTAGACTTAAGTAAATTATCAGCGTCTAAAAAGTTTATCGCAAAGACATTGAAGATGACACAGGTACTCAGTGTTTGACAACGCTTTAATCAGTAACACCTTCTAATATAACTCGTACTCACCAAGAGAAATCAAAAGATAGGATCGAGGAGATTGGAAGATATATTTGATATGACATCACTATATCGGAATCCTCTGATCTAATCTGGCTAGCGATTGAAGTAAATGTTGAGCACGGCGTTCCCAAACGTGATTTGTTGCGGATGCATGGTCGAGCGCCTTCAGCTAGGTGATTCCACTAAAACTAATCTGATCAGCATTTAATGTCGAAAACTTACAGAGCTATTCATTTTGGGGATTTATTTAGCGCTACAACATTTTCTCAGGTTGCGCCAAGTTCGCGACTTACGTAACTGTCGCATATGTAACGGTTGGTGTCGGTTTAAAAATGTAGGATTCAGTATTATTTATCTATTTTACGCTACATGTACTCACATTACATATGTATCTATGTTGACAGTTGCACTTAACTTGCCATTGTTTCAAGGTTTTTTAATTTTATGAACATAAAGAGGTTTCATAAAAGGATATAATAAAGTGAGAAAGAATTATTTCGTAGAAAGAGAGGTATAAGGTGCTTTACTCTCACGATTTAGAGGAAGACAAAGAGTGTATACACCTACGTCACTGTGATCGATTCTAAGCCATGTCAACCAGTCTCCAACCATTGGTTACGATAATCACGCGGACCCCAACCAAGTAGTCTGTATCTACCAACATGGTTCAGACTAGAAGTTAGTGACTTCAAGCACTGATGCCACGTTTTGATTTAGCCGCCCCTAACTTCTAGCCGTCTCCAACACTAGTCAGCATTTCATGCCTTGTAAAATGAGGTAAACTAATACTGTCGCACAGTTAGCCTTCTTAATATTCGAGTTCTACTTACGACTTTATTCTCAAATGTCGTGGTATGCAGTATCATCATAGAATCGCTTGAAGGTCATTCATAAATTATAGTTCATAAGTGTTAATAAAAACCTAATACAAAACATCTTACATTCGGTGGTTACTAAGTGCCTCGTCAGAAACATCAAAATATTTTTAAACTTTAAAGAAGTAGAAAATGATGAGTATTTCCAACACTTTTAAGTAAGATGCACTCGAAGTCTATGGTTTAATTTGATGTATAAACTACTTAATGTGATACTGTGTTATACAATCGACTATATTATAGTATGACTAAATTCCAAGTAATTTGTGCCTCACACTGCTCTATATCCTTTACACCGCAGATTTTACAGTAAAATAATCAAGTGATAAGTTTCCGTGTTGGATGTCATTTGAATAGTCACTTGACCTTATTATCCTACTTTATAGTTGTTCATGCAACTAGTCATCGAATCCCGACTTGATAGATTTCAAGAGATAAAACCACAATTAAACCATTTAACCGAGATTAATCTGTTGATACAAAACATCCAGTCAAGATATTTGGATTATCAGCTACCAAATGGTGGTAAAGAATTCATTGTTATTCACATTGAACTGCAGAAGTTTTAGCATAATCCAATTTTAAATTATTTAGACCAGTACATAATAAAATTCAAATCTAAGATGAGAGTCTGCTTCTATTCATAGCCCATCAGTTGAGTATGCATGGACCATAGCCTGGTATTGTTCTCACAGTAACTAGAATTCGTTGCGATATTCCAATACCGGTATTGTTATCTGATTAGTTGACTATCCATAATTGCTTTCGATTTAAATTTGTTTGCTGCAAGTCTTTGAAGGTTAAACTAATGGGTTCTCGTTGCATAAATGTTCATATGGCTTTTAATGATGACTTGGTCGTATTTTATGTCAATTATGTTTGACATTCGATTCCCCCTGTTTTACGTGATTACCCATTTTATATTTTTTGTTATGAAGTTTTAGCTTTACCTCAATCAATGAGTGAATATATTCGAAGTCCTCTGATAAGGTTAATGTATGAAAAGTTGGATCATCAAAATAAACATTCGAACTCAAATCATGACCATGTAGTTACGTTCAATTATTTTCATAATATACTTTTTATGATATTTTTAATCTTATCAATGTAGTGGTATGATTATCGCGCTGAATATGTAGATTTTGAACTTCGGGATAAGTTTATTAAATCAAAACAAGATGAAGAAACTTGCGAATTTTTAAACAATTGCTATGTCAAATCTGACTGGTTATTTACACACTTTTACCATGCTATTGCTAAAGCTGTTTTAACTTGGTTCATGACTTCAACTTCTATAAATGGGTAATTGATTTTGGCCCTTCGCTCTTACCTATATTTTTTATTTTACATAAAAAATATTAAAAATCCACTTGTAAAGGTATTTTGTGCAAATATGTAATCAGATTCTACAATTAAATTTGACATTATAATGCTATCTTCATCATGAACTGACATCACGCAGTAAGCTATTACTAGCCGAAAATGGCACAGGCACCCATAACTTTATAGTTTGGGGCTTAATGTTGTGATTTCACTACCACATATACAAAGTAATTCGAATATTATTCGGAATTATCCAGTTGATATGTACAAAATCAATTATTACTAGTTAACTAAATTGAAGTTCAAACATATGAGTTGTGGCACGATGGTAATGGTCGTAATAATAATGATCGTCGTTCAAGAATCGTGCAGATTATTATTACTACAACCAGATAGTGAGTGAAAATACTAGGACCATAAAAAGACTGAATAAATAGTTTTTGTGCAGTTAAATTCTGTCTGTGAATCGAGTGATCAAAAAATTGCACGCCTAAAACTAATTTTAAGAGCTGAAATTCTATCAACTTGGTATTTTGTGTAGAATGTATTAGATAACACAGTTTTCTATAAGTTGACTGCTAAATTTCACTTACATATGCCTGTATTAAATAATTCGAAATGTCATAACGCGACTACCAGAAATGCTTCAGTTTATCATTTCTACTCGTGACACCCTATGAGTAGTGATTGGTTTTAAAATCCTACATTTATTTCAGTATTATCGGCGTTTTATTATTCACATTTGGAAACCTCATCATCTTCAATTTAAAACTATGCTGTTTTTATTGATTGTGATATCCTTCAAGTATCAGACAGAAATAATGTAAATCTCTTTATTCTTATTCAAGTTCGGTACCTGTAGTCAATCAGTGTTCGAAACTATCTAAACAGTTGTAATATGCTTCTATATTAATTTGGAGTTTCCTAGCATTATCTTTATTTTGTCCTTTTCATCAATAGCTTTAATAGCAGCTTTGTTTACAGTTATTGTGAAATCTCGAATCGCTAACTACTTTGTGATGAACGGAATACACCCATTGTGACATTAAATAAGAAAGAAAGATTAGTTCAGCGAAGAGTTCTCTTTTCGGCGAATTCATTTTCAAAGCTGTACAATCGCAAATATATATACTTATTTATACAGGGTGATAATAATACTGATAATAAACTTATGATATACATGGTGACGGTGAGGTTAAATAAACAAAGGTATTAGAAAAAATTTTTTAAAACAAGGAAAGTTTGATAGATAATGGCTTAGATAGTCATCGGGTAAGAGTAGCTCAGCATGATAAAATAACATAAAATGTTGAAACAGAGATGAAATGTAATCGGAATGATCGTCGAAATAAAAACAACGATCATTCCGATTACATTTCATCTCTGTTTCAACATTTTATGTTATTTTATCATGCTGAGCTACTCTTACCCGATGACTATCTAAGCCATTATCTATCAAACTTTCCTTGTTTTAAAAAATTTTTTCTAATACCTTTGTTTATTTAACCTCACCGTCACCATGTATATCATAAGTTTATTATCAGTATTATTATCACCCTGTATAAATAAGTATATATATTTGCGATTGTACAGCTTTGAAAATGAATTCGCCGAAAAGAGAACTCTTCGCTGAACTAATCTTTCTTTCTTACTTTGTGATGATTGGGTTTATCTATTATTAGGTTGAACCAGTTTAGAATATTAACATTTTGAATTCGTATGCTATCAGGATTAGTCAATGAAATGTTTTTTGGATAAAAAAAAAGTAATTATTGTATTGTGAGAAATATCTTTCTAATCAACATCGAATGATAAAATACTAGTATGATTGTATTATATTTTTAGTGCTCTAAAGTACTAATGAAAGATAATTTCATTACTCGCCACATAATTTTGGGGGCATTCACGCTTCGAGAATCGTATCTGTAATTATATTTACCATAAAATGACTTGTGTCAATTCGGAACATATATTTATTAATCAAAGAAGTAGGACTTCAAAATTCCAATTTTTGATTCATTGGGAGATTACAGTTTCTTCATTCCTTCATTATAGATAGTTGCTATCCTTTTCATTCTTAATACAAATTACGTTGTTCTGGCTAGTTTTCGAAATCCTGAGTATATTGAAAACATATTAATCAGTTTATTAGTCTTTTTGATACTGGAGAGGCTCTTAATAATTTGGTCAGCGAATTTGCGATCGTTAGAATGAACACAAAGGATTCTGGTCAACAAGTGATACATAAGGTTAAGATGTGGTTGTGATAGCCGCTCACTAGTCTGTTTTGATGCAAGCCCCCGAAAAATTGAGAATAAAAAACAAAACCACTACCCAGAAAAAATAAATTTTATGTAACAGAATGCAGTACTTGTAAAAAAATTATTACCGCGAAAAATAACATGGTAAAATCTTATAAGGGGCTGAAGAAAATCAGCTTGTAGGTTATCCACTTTTCAACCAATTAAGACTTGATTGTTGGACCTAATTCTTGTGCATCGTTTTACTCTTGTTAGTCGGTTTGTTTTCTCTTATTTTGCACCAAATATCTATCCGTAAGCCTGCACGTTTAAACCGTTTTTTAATTCTGTCCATTTTTGTATTTTTCAAGTTTAGTTGGTCGTGGTTCTATGTTTGTTTTCTCATCAGCACAATTTCTTCGCTTACTTGATGTTAACGATAGCTTCAAGTCGAATTCTTTACTCGACTTAGGTAGGTAGATAATTGATTGATATGTATATATAAAACTGACGGCTGGTTTGCATCATGCTGACAAGTCTACATTGTGTACCTGTATGTTGTAACGAAAATCCTAGCATAAGTACCTGTAAAGTATAAATTATCCGTATACTTACAAAGTACATAAAATGGATCCATAGGAAAAAATGATCATTTTAACAAAGGACATAGTTGGAGAGGAAATTTTAACATATGAAAACACCTCTAATACAATAATCCCATTAAGCCAGTTAGACGAAGATATGTCTTCACTATGGAATTGTAAAGTACTTTACAACCTTACTGCAAAAAGGCGATAATTTTAAAATTCTCTCTTGTTTTAAATTTATGTTCATGATATTGTCCATAATTCTAACGAAAGTTTTGGCATCAAACTCTGCTTGAAGAACATAAACCGATTAAACAGATTCATTTGAGCTAAAAAAATACTACAGTCATTAAATAAAGCAGTTAATTGAACCAAAGAATCAATTACATCCGTTTTAATTTAACATCAATCCCCCCACAGCTGGATAATATTGCTTGCCCTGATATATGCGATCTAGTTGAAAGCTACGTATATGAACTTGTAAATATTAAGTTAGCCACATAAAATTAATATAAAATTAAATATTTCTCCCATTGACCTAAAAGAATTCTATTTGATGATTGATTTTGTTTCCCAATAATTCCCAACGTTTAAGTTATTTGTGATCAGGATAGTTAAGATGATACTAGGTGAGTACTTTAAATGTCGATATTTCTTACTCTGGGTAGTCAGTGTAAAATCGTAATAATTTTCCTAGCAAATGCCATAATAGAAAATATTGTAACTTATTTCGTTTCATGGGTTAATAAACGTTGTGGTAAAAGAAAACGAGTTGAAGTATTTTATCATAAATTATTTTTGCACATATGGGTAGTACACATCCACCTCAATATTAGTCTCTTAATTGTCAACGTCGGTAAGATCAGTTTCGCTCTATACTTGTAAAACCTGGCCTCTCCGAGTTGAGGATGTTAGACGACTCTGTGTTTGGTCATCGTTTTCTCTGAAGGATTGCTGACATCCAGTGGCAACACCCTGTTAGCAATGCAGAGACTCGGCTTCGTGTGTTTGGGCACAGTGACGACAATTCAATTAGTATCACTATCTTAAAACATCAACTTCGGTGGCTTGAACATGTTCTACGAATGTCGTCCCAGAGAATTCCACGTCTTGTATTATTTGCCGACGCTGGAAATGGTTGGAAAAAACAGAGAGGTGGTCAGTGTATGACATGGTGTCGTAGTATGATAGAAAACTATACAGGACTGGCTTCTGCTGGTCTTTCACGACCCCTTGGTTGGGGTTCTAGAGATGGTGCAACACAATGGCTAGATAAATGAAAAATGACCACCTAAGGTATATGTTGACTAACTGATGATGTGATTTTCTTGTAGCACCTTCAAGCCCAATAGGGATTGCTGCACCTGGTGTTCATCTATCGAACCTCAGTTGATTCACTATATTATGCGTCTATCATCTACTGTTATCGGTGAAAACCATCTCACTTCATAACATAGTTGCAATCTGCTGATCACGTCTTTGACAACTACTATTTATAATAATAATAATAATAATAATAATAATAATTATTATTATTATTATTATTATTATTATTATTATTATTATTATCCGTTACAGCAATATTTCTTTACACAAATAAGACGAGATTTTCCTTATTTTGAATCATGAATTGATGTCAGCAGATAACCACAACCAGTTAAAGAATTTAACCCGATACCCTCAGTTATTTCGGTGAGTGGAACTATTAAGCTATTGAGTCGAAGACAACTATTTATTGATAAAAGAAACATAAAAAAAGTTTGTGGAATGGTTTACAAATTGTACTATCAATATTTCAATATTAAAAAACAATTCATGATTGTGTTAGACATTTTTTTTAAATACAGGTGCCGGGGACGGCAATGTGACATTGAAAATGGCTCCTTACTTTAAAGATGTATTCGTCACAGAAATTTCTCCAGTTATGCGTTGGCGTTTAAGTAAACATGGCTTTACGTAAGTTGACTGATTATATTTTATCATTTTTAGGTAATGATTTCAAATGATCTTTTACTGAACGATTATGAGAATATTTTGAACCAACAGTATTCCACTTAATTTTGGTTGTAACATGAACTTTATTCTAATCAAAATAAATTTGATACATTATGAAGATTTACTTCAATTTATTTAATCCCTTGTATTGCTTTGTTTTGTCAACAGAATATTAGACGTTGATTCTTGGGAATTAATGAGCGAAGAATTGAATACACCCAAAGTTCCATCTCACTTTGATGTTATTAGTTGTTTAAATTTGTTAGATCGTTGTACAGCTCCAATTACCTTATTGAAACGAATTAGTCAAGCTTTGAAACCTACGACAGGAATTTTAATTCTTGGAATAGTTTTACCATTGAAGCAATATGTTGAAAGTGAGTTTATAATTTTGGTTGACATTAAATTCTTCTCTTAATTTCATAACAGATTAAGCTGACCCATTGTCCTACCTCATTATAATTAGTTATTTTCATCAACAATTTATTTTGACGCTAACACTTACGTTTAACTTTATAGCAATCAGTCTCTAGTACATTGATCTGGTCGACATTCAAAATAGAAGTGGCATGTATTTATTAGATAAAAACTGAAATCTTTAGGGTCCTTCAAACGATTCAGGTAAAAAAAACTATAGAATGTTTGAAATTTTCCAACCTTCGAATTATCTGACATTATTTCAAAACTCATGTACACAGATCCCAAATTTTAGAATTAATAAGTATTTTAGTGGAGTATGTCGAATTGTTCAGTAACATAAATAAGTTTATTGCAAATAGAACCCTGATGGTGGCTACTAGGGATTTCCAAATTTATGTCACTGGTGACTCGTAAAATATCGGTTTTGTTTAATCAGTTTAAAACTCAGTCAAGAAGCACGTTCGACTCTGTTTTACGGCTAAAAGAGATAGATATAAGTATAAAACCTTACAAAATGAATTTAGTTTGTGGTATCACAATTTACAGTAGTGTGCTAAACAAAAACCAACGAGATGCAAAACTTTTGAAATAAAATTAAAATAGATAATATCTTAGTTTATTTTCGTGATCGGCCAACGGTATTTTCTAATTACAAATGTTCGGAATTTTCCTAATACTAATGGTATCTAATGCGAACTCGATAGACCGGCGTCTGACCTACAACACTTCGAAAATTATCATCAACTCCATGGAACGAAGAAAGGATACAGGTACTTATAAAAAGCTTGATTTTCAAGAAATTAAATTTGATGTAGAACGGCTCCGTATAAATTATAACTAACCATGATCTTGAAACAGTAATATTAACAAATTAAATGGAAAAATAGCCGATCAAATGTCAGCAAAGATCATTGCGGAATATCAATTAAAAAAATATTACCACGGTTATCCTTGCACATAAAGCCATCGTTTACTAATAAAAATAATATAACCTGAGACAATCCCAGTAAACTTGTAAATTATTTAATTTTTAAAAACGATACTATTGATTGCAATTAATTCAATCTGGTCTGTTTTAGACTGCATCATCTAGTCTATCTAGAGACAAGTATTTTCCATTATCCTGGAGATTTCATCCCAAAAATCCATGCATCTCTACGCATCTTAATCAGAGTGATAGTAAATACATCAGCTTTTATAATGTCTTGGTTAAACTACACTTAAATTTCTAATACCTCATCCTTCTTCAATCAGTATTACACGTCTTAATGAACAAAAAGTTACCATACTTAATACTTGACCGGGGAAATTCAATCGGTGTAAGTTTATGACCACAATAACTGAACAATTGCTCTTGTCTAGAGAGATTGTGTTATTCAGAATTATTCCTACTACAAGGAGTCTTCTGTGATTTCCACTAATCTGCGGGAATCACTTTCATTTCTCATAGTCTGATTCGACTGAATTCGGAGTTGCTTATCATCGAATCCCGTCTCAGTAATCTCGTTTAGTCAGTCACATGCAACGTAGAACCTGACACATGTGTACATCGGTTCAGGTTTACATTATCCCATTGATGAAGAGGGAAGAAACAGTCAGGGTAAATCTCAGAGTAGTAGAGCTAGGAACAATAATAATGGTAATAGAAAAAAAAATTAAACATCAATGATACAGTTCGCAAAGGAAATATAAATTGGTGCAGCATTCACAAAGTTATGAGGAATTTAAAAACTTAGAATCTAAGTAAGGACAAAGAGTGAGTGCACCTAGGCCATTGGGAAAGATTTCAAACCATATCGTTCAAAATCCCTAACCATTGATTACGATAATCTAAAATTATTGTTTTCATCCCTAGACCTGAAAACCCTGGTTTTGATTCCGTTGATTTATTGATGGCTGTATGTAGAAAGGGATAGGGAGAGATGCATTCCAAACATGTTTGCATCGTTTCCCAGTGTGATTAGAGGACTTCATTTTGTTAGTTTTCGCCAAACCAAACAATGTCATCTGCTTATTTAGAGTCAACAAATTAATCCATTTTATTGAAATCATGAACCGATCAATGTTAGACCAACATTCAAAACCTGGAAGCGCTGGATGCTGACTCAGGGATTTGGAGGTTAGGCGTTTTCGTGTCAGACCAAAGGTCCTGAGTCCGAATCCTGCGTTCGGAAGGAGTTCCGTACTAGAACGAAACGGTCATTCAATGGTAGTCTAACATTGGTTGGTTCATGATTTCGATAAAATTCAACAGTCTCCACAACCCCCAAACTGAAAATTAATCTATTGGTAGAAGATTGATCTGTGATAAGTTAAAAGAACAGCATTATGTCTAAAAGAATGTTTACGATAAAGATAGATAGAATTGTGGAAATTGGCCAAGCCTAATATATGTCACTTGAGGTTAACGGTTTCAAAGTCAGTTACCCATAATCTCTGAATTGACTAGAAGTATATTTGTTATAACTTGTTGTTTTGTACCCTTGGTTCTTTGTTTTTCACCCCGTCGCCAATTGTTATAACGCTCAGTTTTACTTCATCTAATGTTATAACGGTTGGTTTACTGCGTTTACACGTATGGGACGTAAATTTACCTTAGAAGAATATCTACACTAGATTCCCTCTCAGTGTATATTCTACGAGGCTTCAACAGAACTCAGATCAAGAATATATGATTAACCTGACCACAACGTAAATATATTTTCACTCAAAAAAGCCGACACAGTCCAATAACAATAAACAATCAATAATAATACTTATAAGGATAGGGGAATATATAACCCATCTGACACCTGTCAGACTATCGACATGTCTGACTAAGCAGACAACTAATCATTATCACTCTCATCCACACATCAATATTATACACAAAAATACTGATTTATCTTGTTCACTTATTGATGGTAAGGCTTATTTCCTCTCATTTAATCATTATTTTGTAAATAATCTTCAGTTTTTTAAAAAAAAATACTTTTTTCCTCATTTATATTCAATGTTTTTTTTTGTTTAAACAAAAATATATGTAAAATCACTTTTTTAAAGCGACTCATGATCAACGTCCTATTGAAGTACTTGAAATAATTGATAGTGAATTATGGGAAATACAATTATCTAGTTTAATTAATAATATTCTTATACCAGCTAATTATCATGTTTTACGTTGGACACGTTTACCATATTTATGTGAAGGTGATTTTTCTAAATCATTCTATTATTTAAATGAAATTATACTTGTTTTACAATATTCAATATCTAATAATTTAAATAAATAAAAGGGTTGATGGTTTCATAATCTTTTTATTATTATATTAAATTGAAAATTTTCTAGTTTGGTTGTGTATTACATGTGGTTTATTTATTGATTAGTTGATTGATTGATTTTTCAACCGATTCTTTTATTGATACTTTTATCAATCTACTGATTATTTGTTAATTTTTATTGTTGATGAAAATTTCAAATGTACATGATTACCATTATTATTATTATTATTATTATTGGTGTTTTGCAAGTACTTCCATTATTTATTTTGAAATAAATATTTCTAATTTCAATACAATCAAGGAGTTTATTGTCTTTTTAATTACTATTCGTTTCTTTTGAATTATTGGATAGTAACTACTGTTACTAATTATTATTACTATTGGATTATCTGATCACATGAATTATGAACTAGCCTCTAAATGCCCTGGTACAACTGAGAATGCGTATACAGCCACTGTCAGGGAAGTCTTACTCACTGCCTTCGACTGACAAGGGTGTTGTTCACCGTATTGAGAGAACGAAAACCGAATGTCCAACGCTTTAACCGAGTTGATGGATACAGAGGATCCATCTGGAGGATGTTGGAATACCCTGATTTCAAACCAATGGTGTATATGGGCTCCAGTATTCTGAAGGATCGAATGGCCTATGAACCTCTTGATGGTCACCGGTTACTATGAGACTGCATCTTGTGATGTTGCTCCACTGCCTTGTGGGTCGGACCTTTAGGTCGAAGGCTCCAGATGTGGCTCCCTAAGAAAATCACCCGCTTCGGTTTGGGCACCCGGGCAGTATCACAGCCCACACACAAATCGAGTGACTTGTGTGGCGCATATGTATTTGGTGCCTCCTTGTACCAATGTTTATGTGTTTGAATAATTATGAAGTACAATGAATTTATATGCTATTAGTACTATCAAGAGTTAATTTTCAACCATATAATTGATGAAATGGTTGATTTAAACGTTTACCCGATAGTGATTGGTTTACTTAAAGTGATTATTTTAGGTTGTATTGAAGCTGTTGGGGTAGGATATTGTCAATGTCTAATTTATAATTCGTGTTACCACTTCATTTGAATAATACTACTTGTTAGTTTATCAGATCAATGAACATCAGCTACTTGTCCATTTTAACTATTATAATTTTGGGTTCCTTAAAAATCTTTATAAGCAGTTATATCTTTGTTCTCTCATATTCTGCTGCTTAGTAAGAAACGAGATAATAGTCGTGTTTTTCAAAATAACTTGTTACTGAAACATGAAGTGATTTCACTACATAAGATACTAATTATTTGTGTTGATGACAAGGCACACTGTCGTGGTTGCTTGTGGAATATACTTCCGTCTTACCAAGTTGGACTTCTCTCTCTAGTTAGTTGGGCTGGGACGCGTCGGAATATCTAGCTTACCAGTCATTGTGTCACTGAGTCTTCGTTCCGTTCTCAGATGAGGTGAACTCGTAATCTCTTCAAACCTAGCACATACAACCGATTGATATTATGCGTCGTTTGACAAAGGTATGTTTTTATTCGTAACAGAATTTTACTAAAATCAATTGCTATTAAGTACAACATAATTATTTAACTGGCGCTACGGTTTCTGTATTGATACTTAATATGTTCATGTATGCTAACAATACCCCTACCAATTATCGCTAATAGCTATGATTTCATTAATAATGGAATAGCATTCAATGAGAATAAGACAACGATACTTAATGTGTGCTACATCTAACGAATTGATCAAACCTCAGTAGATAAGCTTCACGCTGTTGTCTACTCAAATACGAAATTTCGTTGTAAGTAATGCACATTTTATTATTGATTAGGATAAATAACATAGAACTCATAAGTTTGGATAAGTTCATATTACTATATCAGCTTCGTAAATTGACAGCATAGAGAAGAAGAATTAAAACAAGATAATGGCATTTAAAGTTATGTGAAGCTAATAGAAATTAAAATATTAAGAGATGAGTGGAACCGAGGAATAATGTGTCCTATTCGCTTAGTGTATATTCTTCATTATTACTAAAATTAGTCGTCATATTCTTCTATTATGAAGTAAATTGTACCCAAAAACCTTGTGGAGTACTAACCAGACAACCAGTGTGATAGAAAAGCTAGCAAAACAATGTGCTACAGATATGAAATTAGAGTAAAACAGTGTTCGTATGGGCTTATATTGTAGAATAGTGAAGAATTTTTATGGCTTATTGTACAATATACAACTAATGAAATGTAATAATCAGACACGTGAAACTTTCCTCATTCATGCCGATTGTCCCATAACCAAAGATCTGCTGAACATTTTAGCGCCAAAATGCAGTCTCGAATTTCTCACAAAATCTGAAATGAAGTTTACACTGCCTTGTTATGATTCATTTAATTATTATCCTATACATGATTTTATGTACTAGTGTCGTTGTATATTAATATGATTCATATCCACAAGTTTGACTTTGTATTTTTGAAATTTACTGAACGAGACTGCAATAACTAATTTTTTGGACTCGTATACCCTGATATCCTCAATATCGCTTTATCTCCTAGCTTCGGCTACTCTCAAAAACAATCATAAAAAGAAGATTGATTGATAAAGTTTAGAAAAAATTGTTTCAAGCAAATAGCACATCAGAATACGTATGCAAAGTATTTGGAAATAAGGTGAACATTTAGCACACTGAAAGTCATCGACCATTGGGAAAATGGTTTTAATAGTGTAAAAACAGACATGGCATGAAGAAATTGAAGGTCAGATTTCAGATTGAAAAACCAGGAAATGAACACGTTACTGAGTACTAAACATTTTGAAACGAGCTGATAGGCAAATCAACCTACAGTCTACTAATTATGTAAATGAATCCTAACCATATTCATCAAATTGGTTTTTTATTTAAGTCTCATTTGAACTATTGTTTTCTCTTTTGTTCATCGTGCTACTAACTATTATTAGGTAGTATGAGTAACCGCTTAACTCCGCCTGGAGTCCCTCCGGGGGCTACTGCCGGTCCCAAGCCCGGATAAAGGAGGAGGGTTGGGCATGGGGTTAGCGTCCCCATCCCGTAGAAAACTAACTCGCTAAAAAAACGCTAACCAGAAAAAATTATTCAAACCTTTTAAACTCTGCCCTGGGAGTCAGAAGGTCTTCACTTAGAAGAATTATGACGCCTCATGATGAAAGCCGAATTCCTTCGGAAGTTACGAGGCCGATGCCCCTTCTGACAACCAGAGCAACCATTTATTTAGGTACATGGAATGTTCGTACAATGTGGGACACCGGAAGAGCCTTCCAGATTGCTGCAGAAATGAGAAGATACAACCTAGAGGTACTTGGGATCAGTGAAACACATTGGACACAAGTTGGACAACAACGACTAACTACAGGAGAGCTCCTGTTATACTCCGGCCATGAAGAAGAAAATGCACCACATACACAAGGAGTTGCATTGATGCTGTCCAAACAAGCGCAAAATGCGCTTATAGGATGGGAATCTCATGGACCAAGGATCATCAAAGCCTCCTTCAAAACAAAGAAAGAGGGCATTTCAATGAACATCATCCAATGCTATGCGCCTACCAACGACTATAATGAAGACGCTAAAGATCAATTCTACAATAGGCTGCAGTCAATCGTCGAGAAGTGCCCAACAAAGGACCTGACCATTCTGATGGGAGATTTCAACGCCAAGGTTGGAACGGACAACACTGGATATGAAGACATCATGGGACGACACGGACTAGGAGAAAGAAACGAAAATGGTGAGAGATTTGCAAATCTATGTGCCTTCAATAAGCTGGTCATAGGCGGCACCGTATTCCCACATAAACGCATACACAAAACCACATGGACTTCACCGGATCACTCTACACAAAACCAAATCGACCATATTTGCATCAACAAAACGTTCAGGAGGACTATAGAGGACGTGAGAACCAAGAGAGGAGCTGATATAGCATCAGATCATCACTTACTGGTCGCCAAGATGAAATTGAAACTCAAGAAGCACTGGACAACGGGGCAGACAGTATCACAAAAGTTCAATACGGCCTTTCTCCAGGATACTAACAAACTCAACAAATTCAAGATAGTCCTCAGCAACAAGTTCCAGGCCTTTCATGATCTACTCAATGGAGAAGGAACTACTGTGGAGAGCAACTGGAAGGGGATCAAAGAGGCAATCACTTCAACATGTCATGAGGTCCTGGGTCACAAGAAGCACAATCACAAGGAATGGATCACTGTTGGTACACTGGATAAGATTCAAGAAAGGAGGAACAAGAAGACAGCGATCAATACCTGTCGAACAAGAGCAGAAAAAGCCAAGGCACAAGCTGAATACACGGAAATAAACAAACAAGTGAAGAGGAGCATCAGAACCGACAAACGTAAATATGTGGAAGATTTAGCAACGACGGCGGAAAAGGCTGCAAGAGAAGGAAACATGAGACAATTGTATGACACGATAAAGAAACTCTCTGGAAATCGCCACAAACCAGAACGACCAGTGAAAAGCAACGCAGGCAAGGTAATCACCAACATTGAAGAGCAACAAAACAGGTGGGTAGAACACTTCAAAGAACTGTTGAATCGACCAGCTCCACTGAACCCACCCAACATCGAAGCAGCACCCACGGACCTCCCAATCAATGTTGGCCCACCAACAATTGAAGAAATCAGCATGGCCATCAGACAAATCAAGAGTGGCAAAGCAGCAGGACCGGACAACATCCCAGCTGAGGCACTAAAAGCAGACGTAGCGGCAACTGCAAGGATACTCCACATTCTCTTCAATAAGATTTGGGATGAGGAACAAGTACCAACAGACTGGAAAGAAGGACTTCTAATCAAAATACCGAAGAAAGGCGATCTCAGCAACTGTGATAACTACAGAGGCATCACTCTTCTCTCAATACCGGGAAAAGTCTTCAACAGGGTATTGTTAAACAGGATGAAGGACTGCGTAGACGCTCAACTTCGTGACCAACAGGCAGGATTCCGTAAGGATAGATCGTGTACAGACCAAATCGCAACTCTACGGATCATTGTGGAACAATCAATTGAATGGAATTCATCACTCTACATCAACTTCATTGACTACGAAAAGGCATTTGACAGCGTGGACAGAACAACACTATGGAAACTTCTTCGACACTACGGCGTGCCTCAGAAAATAGTCAATATCATACAGAACTCATATGATGGATTAAACTGCAAAATTGTGCATGGAGGACAGTTGACAAAGTCATTCGAAGTGAAAACCGGTGTTAGGCAAGGTTGCTTACTCTCACCCTTTCTCTTTCTCCTGGTGATCGACTGGATCATGAAGACGTCAACGTCTGAAGGGAAGCGCGGGATACAATGGACATCTAAGATGCAGTTGGATGATCTAGACTTCGCAGACGATCTGGCCCTTCTATCCCAAACGCAACAACAGATGCAGGAGAAGACAAACAGCGTGGAAGCAGCCTCAGCAGCAGTAGGTCTCAACATACACAAAGGGAAAAGCAGGATTCTCCGATACAAGACAGCATGCACCAATCCAATCACAATTGACGGAGAAGATTTGGAAGATGTTAAAACCTTTACATATTTGGGCAGCATCATTGATGAACAGGGTGGATCTGATGCAGATGTGAAGGCGCGGATCGGCAAAGCAAGAGCAGCATATTTACAACTGAGGAACATCTGGAACTCAAAGCAACTGTCAACCAACATCAAGGTCAGGATTTTCAATACAAATGTCAAGACAGTTCTACTGTATGGGGCAGAAACCTGGAGAACTACAAAAGCCATCATCCAGAAAATACAGGTGTTTATTAACAGTTGTTTACGCAAAATACTTCAGATCCATTGGCCGGACACTATTAGCAACAACTTACTGTGGGAGAGAACAAACCAGATCCCAGTGGAGGAAGAAATCAGGAAGAAGCGCTGGAAGTGGATAGGACACACATTGAGGAAAGCACCCAACTGCGTCACAAGACAAGCCCTCACATGGAATCCTCAAGGCCAAAGGAGAAGAGGAAGACCAAAGAACACATTACGCCGAGAATTGGAGATAGACATGAGAAAAATGAACAAGAATTGGATGGAACTAGAAAAGAAGGCCCAGGACAGAGTGGGTTGGAGAATGCTGGTCAGCGGCCTATGCTCCATTGGGAGTAACAGGCGTAAGTAAGTAAGTAATGAGTAACCGCTTGCGAAATAGTGTCGCCACTCTGATTTCTGTTTTATTCAACTAGTTCAAAATTTACTGACTGTTCATATGCAACTCTTTGTTTGTTCACGATCCTAATCAAGTATTTGTATTATTTGGTTGATACGTCTGGTCTCGAGATAGTCCAGATTACGATCTTGTTAACTGCTAATTAATACACTAGAGCAGGTTATATATATATATATATATATATATATATATATATATATATATATATATATATATATATATATATATATATATATATATATATATATATATATATATATATATATATATATATATTTGGTACAATATAGAATTCTCAGCGCAAATTTTTTCAAAAAAACTCTTTTCTTTCATTTTTATGTATATTGCCAGCAACCACAATGTCTCTGATTGTGCTCTTCCCTAACTTGTACAGCGAAAGGTCGTGAGCTTTTCACAAACGCACCTGAATAGGTTGTACAAAAATAATTGACGTAATGACCTATTTAAACAAACAAAAGACAGATAACTTGTTGAAATATCTAGATGGCAGGAACAGGTAACCCAGATATTTAAGCAGGCCACCGTTATGCAGCAAAACTACTTAAAGTGTTTCTTTTGTTTAATTATATTTTTGATAACATAACTCATGTTTCCGTAACAACACTGCTTCTAAACAAACTTCTTTTTAAGTTTCAAAGTTTTAGAGCGTAAGTCAATCTCTATGTTAGTCTACTGACACACCAACGATAGTATTTATTTTGTGTTAGTAGTTTACTTATGAGCAATTCATTTACGACTAGCAAATCAGTAATTAGTTATTTCAATTCAAATATACATCGTAGCGAATCTTAATTACTTATCACTCAGTGAAAAATAATCAGAAAATCATCCTGATAGATTCGAAACACGATGAGGCAAACTAAATGTACACTGATAAGGGCGTACGCAAAATCATGAGCATTGATAAACAAGGAAAGCAAAAACGGTGGCACACAACAAAATGGTAGATAACTCTAGGCAGTTATTCAGACTCATCAAAGATACAGTTATTCAAAGTAAGCTGTTAGTAAGACTGTTTAGATGCGGAACGGAACTTTGATTGACATTATCATCAGAACTGGCAGATATACCAAGTAAATTTTGGGAACTGGAAAAAATCTTAACTGTTCAGCCTCGACTACTGATCATCTCTGTCTCTGAAGAAAGGAAAGAAACCCTCGTTATAAACACATTGTACTAAGTTTGAGCAATACATCCATGTAGTCAAGTTTTTAAAGTAATGTATCTTCCATTCAGTGTTAACCATAATTTGATAATAGTTAAATTTTAAGAAGAGTAACATATGAAATTTGAATTAGGAAAACTTGAGAAAAACTATTGATTCCAGTAATATATTCTGTACTTACTAGGAATAGAGTCTAATAACACAGGTTACACTTTTTCTGTGCCTCGCCTAACTGCTTTTATTTGTATCTCGGTGTTGATATTCTGACTGCGATACTAAACCATTGCTTATCGTTTCAAATACCTGGATCTTATTCACTTGGTTTTTTAGTAACGAGTCACTAATTTATTTAATAAACATAACAATCTCAGCGAGAATATCAACAGTAAAATACTTGCACTGAAATTTAGCTGAGAAATTTCATAGGTTGAAATGTGAGCCCTGGATTCTGTTAATGATCATTATTAAAAATGATCGATTTGTTCTATTATTAACATGTATGTTTATGCAGGATTCCAACATCTGTAAACCAACGTGACTTATCATCTCTGTCCTAAATATAAGAAAATAAGAAGTACAAACCTTTATAGTCGATAGCCATTTCATGTTTATAAATAATTTGCACTGTAACTCACTGCCATAATTTATGTGTTTATTAGTGATGATACTACATGGCTATTCAATATTCAAACTCACCAATTTATATTAGAGTTAAATAACTTCATTTATCTCCAAATTTATGTTGACATTGTGTTATGATTCATTTTTGAATCGAGTTATACCATGAATGTTACATTCTCAGGCTAAGAAGTTAAACAAGACATTTAAACACATTAACCAGTGTAAAATTGAACTTAAGTTTTGCAAAAAACTCTTAATTCAAATTAGACATCACTAAACTATCGATCAATAGATTTTAATATTTATTATTGATTCAGTGTACTTTACATAGATTTGTTGTTCAGTCTAACCAACAAGATTTGATTGTATACATACACAACACAAATTCACCAAAATCTTGAGAAGTATAAAAAGTGAGGGAAAATAATCAAGGTGACTATTTTAACGAATCGAATCACTTTGTGAGTTATTCAATCAATCATCTGAATATATAAGTGATATGATTGAATGGTAAGGATTATATGCGAACAAATATATCTAGAAGGAAAGAACTAGTCGAAAAGTGGTTATTTTTCAATGAAATCAAACATGCAAACGTTAAATAAATAAAGTATGCATATCTAATACTTAGTGTAAACGTAATTAATCATAGGATATGTATCCTATATTTGATCATTCATCAGCCTTCAATAATTATCAAGCTTGAATTCTTGCTGAACATAATGATAACTTTTCAGAATATAGGATTATCATATTTATTGTGAAACGTGTAATTTGAAGAATGAAAGTTATCACAACACCACTTGATTAGTGAGGATTTGTAATTTCCCGTTATTGATACTAAAGATTGTAATTGATATTATGTGTATTCGGGGAGGATTGTTTCTATATAGCGTTGCATTAACAGTGTATCACATAGCAGGTCAGTAATAAACACTTTGGTCTCTTGAAGCCAAAGTTACTGGGTTCGAATTTCGATGTGTGCTCTGGTACGGTCGAGGGTAGGAAGTGTCAACTCTCACATGACCACGCGTATACAACCACTGTCAGGGAAGTCTTACTCACTGCCTTCGACTGACAAGGGTGTTGTTCACCGTATTGAGAGAACGAAAACCGAATGTCCAACGCTTTAACCGAGTTGGTGGATACAGAGAATCCATTTGGAGGATGTTGGAATACCCTGATTTCAAACCAATGGTGTATATGGGCTCCAGTATTCTGAAGGATCGAATGGCCTATGAACCTCTTGATGGTCACCGGTTACTATGAGACTGCATCTTGTGATGTTGCTCCACTGCCTTGTGGGTCGGACCTTTAGGTCGAAGGCTCCAGATGTGGCTCCCTAGGAAAATCACCCGCTTCGGTTTGGGCACCCGGGCAGTATCACAGCCCACACACAAATCAAGTGACTTGTGTGGCGCATATGTATTTGGTGCCTCCTTGTACCAATGTTTATGTGTTTGAATAATTATGAAGTACAATGAATTTATATGCTATTAGTACTATCAAGAGTTAATTTTCAACCATATAATTGATGAAATGGTTGATTTAAACGTTTACCCGATAGTGATTGGTTTACTTAAAGTGATTATTTTAGGTTGTATTGAAGCTGTTGGGGTAGGATATTGTCAATGTCTAATTTATAATTCGTGTTACCACTTCATTTGAATAATACTACTTGTTAGTTTATCAGATCAATGAACATCAGCTACTTGTCCATTTTAACTATTATAATTTTGGGTTCCTTAAAAATCTTTATAAGCAGTTATATCTTTGTTCTCTCATATTCTGCTGCTTAGTAAGAAACGAGATAATAGTCGTGTTTTTCAAAATAACTTGTTACTGAAACATGAAGTGATTTCACTACATAAGATACTAATTATTTGTGTTGATGACAAGGCACACTGTCGTGGTTGCTTGTGGAATATACTTCCGTCTTACCAAGTTGGACTTCTCTCTCTAGTTAGCTGGACTGGGACGCGTCGGAATATCTAGCTTACCAGTCATTGTGTCACTGAGTCTTCGTTCCGTTCTCAGATGAGGTGAACTCGTAATCTCTTCAAACCTACCACACACAACCGATTGATATTATGCGTCGTTTGACAAAGGTATGTTTTTATTCGTAACAGAATTTTACTAAAATCAATTGCTATTAAGTACAACATAATTATTTAACTGGCGCTACGGTTTCTGTATTGATACTTAATCTGTTCATGTATGCTAACAATACCCCTACCAATTATCGCTAATAGCTATGATTTCATTAATAATGGAATAGCATTCAATGAGAATAAGACAACGATACTTATAGGTTCAAATAAATAAGTAAACATCAACATCGCGATGTAGATACACCTAGCTGACGAGCTTTAATTGAGACAAATCGTGCGTTTTAGATCTAACACTACTTGGTATTTTAGACTGTCACACGTAACTAGATAAAATCTCTGTTAATTATCCTGTTATCGTTCATGTAAAGTACGCTAAGTCACCCATTATTTGATATCTTTCCATGTAGTCTACTTTTTGTATGGCAAACTGATAGTGTGTTCCTTTAAATTTGACTCCATAAAACAACCAGCCATAACTATGCTTCCATGACTGATAATCATGATCAATTGTGAATGAAATGTTTTTCATAATTTGATAAAACTTTACACCGAATCATTTTCAAACATATATTGCCTCATTAAATATTCTACTCTCTAGACTATTTTCATAATGAATCAATAATAATGTAGTCTTTGATCTGAAAGCAGTGGTGAATAGCCATTTTTTGGTTTAGTCTTCATACTTCTCAGTAATATGAACTCGTATAAAATGAAAGTTACATATATATTCCTAAATAATTGACATACTCTCTGTAATTATTTCTAGAATAAAACTTATTTATTAATCATTAGAAACAGAACATTAAAAAAACATATCTGATAGCTCGTTATTGCATCACGTAGCTAAACTATAACATTCCACCATTCCAATTTATAAGGTAAAATCATCAGTTGTCTGTGTGATACCAGATCATACAAAACACCTTTTGAGATTAATCTAATAATATGGCATTAGGCAAACAGGTTTGAATATAGAACCACTGATTGATTGACTAATTCATTATGTGCGTATAAACAGATTAAATCTATCATTTACACTAAAAATATTCAACTAAAACTGTATGACCACTGAGTAATTACGTCAGTTATCAAGTGAATGTTTCATAACAAATAATAACCGATATCAGTCTTCTAAATCAACTTTCTTAAGTTCATACAATAACATCAATCCAATCAAGAAAGTGTTTACGTATAGTTTGTATTTCTGTCAATTTATTTAGTATCATCTACATATTGCAAACAATCTATTTACATGATCTTGTTCTAATCTTTTGTTTTAATTAGTTATGCAATAGTTTAGTTATTGTATATACTAAATCACTATAATACTGACTATATCTATATGTTATTCACAAAATATTTGTACTATTGAACAAAATAAACACAGAATCATCGGCTCATTTTAATCAGGTTAAATGTATTTTACTTGTAAACTTTTGATATTATTAACTAAATGAAACTAATTCATTTATTAATTATTTTTGGTATATTGTTCTGGATTAATAATAACTAGAGAAAATATCTTAACCAGTTCACTTTGATCATACAACACAAAAGCAATAAAAGATAAATCAGCAGAAATTCAATGTTTTCCTAACTAATAAAAGTTCATTTTGATCAAACCTAATTCTCATAAATATATGGATAGCAAATTCTAAATGAAGCGGTTTTGTGGAGATTTTAGTAATTTCACTAGTTGGGATCATGAGTCAATTGAACCGAGACCACCATGGAAAAACTGGAAGCACTGGACGGTCGTTTCGTCCTAGTGTTGGACGCCTCAAGCAGTGCGCATCCACGATCCCGCTCCAGTAAAGTTCAACCAGGTCTGTTGTGAGATATCAGCTCACTGAAGACAATGGTGTACGGTGACGCAATTTCGTGGATTGGTTGAAGTTAGACATTAACACCGTCGGATGTCGGCCAGCTCAGTGGTCTAATGGTTAAGCGCTCGCGCGCGAGACTGGCAGGTCCTGGGTTCGAATCTCGCGGGGGAGGGATCGTGGATGCGCACTGCTGAGGAGTCCCATAATAGGGCGAAACGGCCGTCCAGTGCTCCCAGTTTTTCCATGGTGGACTCGGTTCAATTGACTCATGATTCCAACTATTGAAATTCTAAATGAACAAAATAATTTTAGTTCATAATAAGAATCACTTTTAAACTATACAGAATTTTGTACAAAATGTACATTAAATGGGATAAATTTAAAATCATTAAACAGATGTATGAAATTGTTAACTATGCTTTGTTAGAGACCTAAATTATTCAAGTAATGAATACGACGTTTTTATTTAAGCATGAACAGCTTTATAAATGGCACCTGTATTTTGTAATTATATAAACATAAGGATTTATGAGAAAGAGAATACCGCAAAAATAATAAGGTATATGGAATGAAAATCTTACAAAAAGCTTAATATTTGATTCAGATCAGATTTGAAATACACTCCATTTATTTTATGCAAAGTATCAAATGGTCGAGACTCTTGTGATATACAAATACATAAGAAAAATCACGATTAACTGTTATGTAGTAATTACATTGTGAACCCATAACATCGTTTCATTTACTTTGTAATAAAAAAATTTATAGTTATTTATAATTTACAATACCATAGTGGTTAGATTCTTTTCCAATAGTAAAGTAATAATACAAAACATATAAGATGAATACAGCAACAAAAAAATGAAGTCAGTTAACATATACTATGGATTACCCGTCAAAAAGAAATAAAACATTTATAGACTCAATTAATCACTTTTCTACAGAAATAAACATATAAAAAGGAAGAATATGATGTGAGAAGAAACAACAAATCAACATAAAATCAATAAATAGTGCATAACAAAGATTTATAGTTGGATTTACAAATAAATAAGAAATAGGAAATTTCACAGTCACAGCCATGCCGTTCAATGATCAAAACATTGTTGTTTTAAATAAGCATTTATATCATTTGCATATACATATATGTTGAATAGAGGAACCGTTTAACTATACAAAAATAAAGATGTGTGTACACTATTTCTAAACTGTGCAAAATTTAAAAATATGGATTTACAATTAAGA